AGTTCCCACTGTATTTTGGCAATTCCAGATAGCTTTCCATTATTGTCTGCTTTGACCATACTTTATGGCAATATGTATCGCTTTGCTACTTTTTCAATCACCACTTTTGGCTCCATTTAGGCTTCAAAAGCTTAATCCTTCCTTTATGGGTTAATGATTGATTTGGGGCCGCTTTTACCTGGAACAAATGAACCAAGTCCTTAGTCATTTCGCTTACTTGTACCCATTATAGTTCATTCATTGAATTATCCTTTCTATGTAACTCTAATCGAAATTATCATTCACTAATTTGCTTTTGTATGCACCTTACTTTATGTGTCTGTATGTGTCTGGCCTCGTATATTTATTTCCTATTTCTTAGTGTATGAAAAATAAACTTTGTCATCTTTGCCTTTGTGCTTGAGTGCCGACTTAGAAGTCATTCTCAGAGCTTGTAGCGTATCCATCTTTCTTTATTTACCCTATTAGTATTATAACTTTTAGATTGTATTTTCCTTTATGTGCAAGTCAGCCTGTGTAAAGCCCCCAGACTCTTCTTTTAGCCTCAATTCCCCATCTCCTCAACTTGATTTGGTGCTCTCGCTCACTTGTCTTTGCCTTCAACTCCTTTTCCTCAAAATTTTTCCTGCACCCCATCGTCTATCATTTCTGCCCTCACTTAGTCTGTGTCAAAGAGACCCAGCGTTTGTCCGCCCTCTTTCCCTCCAGTCCTTCACCTTGCCTCATTCTGACTTTACCGATTCAGTCTTGCGCCATGCTCTCCCTCACACACACATACTTCTGCACAAACACACACACACACACACACATACACGTACATAAAGCCTCATAGATACTCGGAATACATTCATGGAACACACACGTGCACACTTCTACTCGCGCACATATATGCACGCATTCACCCATGCTAAAACGTAGATGCTCACATACATACACGCACTTGTGCCAATGCCCTTGTCCACTTGCTGTTGCTTCACCTTTTCCCTCTTCCCACCTCATTTTGCCCTTTTCAGTTCTGACACGGTTCCTGTCACGCAGGCGCATTTGTGCACCCGCTTTTTGGCGCACACATACTAACACACACACACACATATATATATATATATAAATATATATACGCGTTCATACATATCCGTATGCTCAAATCGACTGTTTTCTGGACTTCTCTTCTAGTTCCTTTGCATAGGAGACATGCGCGCACCTCGTTCTCGTGAACAAACGCTACTCTGCTGCATGACCCGCTGGCCAGCCTCCTAAATGTACGACCTGCGGTCTTCTTTGCATGTATATTGCTATGCCTGTGTGCAACTTGTTGTGTCCGGCAGTATCCATCCGATCTTCCCTTCTGTCCAAATCGGGCGCATTATTTCCCTTTTCTGCACTCATGATCCTTGCTTCATTATCATTCCGCATTAGTCTCGCATGTACTCATTTTTGAATGTATGCAATCAGCCTCAATCATATCCGCAACTATTTCCACTTTCTGCCCATTTGCTCAAGGCACATCCCTCTGGCCAAGTGCGCTTGCCAGTTGTGTACTGCTCTCTCTCTCTTTCTTTCTTTTTGTCTGTCTGTCTGTCCGTTTGCCTCTCGGTCTCTCTGTGCAAGGCCATAGCTGCCATAGCTGCCTTAGCACGCAGAGAGTAGAGACGGATATCGTGGCTGAAAGACGGACCTGCCGGACTGAATACGACTGGGGAGACGATGTCTGTCTCTCCACCTGATGGAGGCTTCATTCTCAAAGCTATCGTCTAAACGTGGCAACTATCGCCAGGCCCGTTTGTCCCGTCCAATCAGCAAGACTGGCCGCCTTGATTTGTGCCCCGTTTGCCTTTTTGCTTCAATTTGGTCGTCTCTACGCCACAGCACGCAAATGTCGACATGCCCATGTTGAAGGATTCCACTTTTCCCTTAGCCTGAGCCTGAGGCCTTCCTACTTTACCTTTAACCTTATCCTTTTTCTGCATCCTCCATGTTCACCGAACTTTCATTCTCTCTCTCTCTCTCTCTCCCTCTCTTGCTTGAAGGAGCTTCCTTCTTCTCTTGTCAGTTTGAAACACCTCTGTCCGTCACTCCCTACCTCTTGGGT